TATATATATATATATATATATGTGTGTATGTGTGTGTGTATGGAATTAACAGTCGTTAATAATAAAATATTTTATTTTATAATTGATTAGTTGTGATTACAAACCACAAGCATTTAATTTTAATCATTTAACATATTTTGTTAAGGAGAGAATTTGAACTATTAAAATGAATGACTTTGAATTAAATGAATATATTTTATTTTATAATTGCTTAGTTGTGATTGTCTGTTAATAAATGAAAAACTATATTAATGTCACTGGCGAGGTTGGTGACTTGCCTACTAGTTGCTTCCCTAAATTTCCCCCCTGCTTAATCCGAGTAAAAGATAACTTAGCTAATAATAAGCCTGTTAGGCAAAAGAAGGATATGACCACGTGTATAAAAATTAATATTTTTAAAAAAAACAGACTTTACCCTTTATATGAGTTTTGCATTCTTTACAGTTCAAAAATTATAAGTTTCAAATCCGCCACTAAATAGTTATAAGGTAATGTTCATAAGAACTTGCAATAAGGTATACTTTTCACATAAAGAATAATTAGAAATATTTAACAAATGTATCCATTTATGCACAGGCAGATGTCTTAATGGGTTGATTTTTAAGGTAAAAAAAAAAAACGAAATAAATTTAAAAGTAATTTGAAACGTAAACAGCCGTCTGAAACAATAGACTAAGAGAGAGAGGTGATTTTTAAAGTTTCCTTTTAACCTTTTTTAAATTATTGCTCTTCTAGTTTGAGGTAAAATTTGAATCATGGCATCAAATATGGCGTTAAAATATTGAAAATAAAAATTTTAAATATATATTTCACTGCCATGAATTTACCAAATAAAATGAGTAAAACAGAGTAGGGCTAAACCTGAAAAAATAAATGCAACAAAACAGCAAACGTGTCGGCAGAAAGCCTTCGTCAGCGAACAAAACAACAGAAAAAAACGGTATAAAATAAAAATAAAAAAATAAAATAATAATATTTGTTCGCTGTTTTGTTGCGTTTATTTTTTCATGTTTAACCCTACTCTGTTTTACTCATTTTATTTTGTACTAACCTGATTGCAGTCTCTCCCCTTATTACCCCATGAATTTACCCCATTTAATGTCTTATATATATATTTATATATCGCGCTAAGAACATTCTATTCTAAAAGTGAGTTCATTTCCCGGGAAGTCTTTTGTTTCCTTAAAATCTTTCGGGATCTCGCGATACCGGGAAAGAACCCCGCCTAGTCTAAATGGCCTCGTGCCAAGGGTGGGGTATTTAAGGAGAGAGAAAAATATCCTCCCTCCCGCGAGCCTCGAGTTTTGTTGACATGCTGCTTTATAAAACAAACCACAAGCATTTAATCATTTAACATATTTTGTTAAGGAGAGAATTTGCACTATTAAAATGAATGACTTTGTAGTAAATTAATATTTTATTCAATCAACAATTCTTTGATATTCCTCATTTGTAGCTAGTTTTCTTATTTGTTATATAAAAAAGAAACTTTACCTACTTTTAATTTTAATCTTCTCAAATAATCTGAAAAGATTAGAAGCAGATTTATTTTAAAGGGTCCCGGATGACAAACGCTAAGACTTTGTAAGACCCAAAAGAAATTAATCTGCATTAACAAGGGAAAATACTTCGGGCAAGTGGATCACCTGAATTACTAGAGTGCTTACCCTTTCCTAACATTTTATTTTAAATATTTTTTAAACAAGAAGTTCCGGCCCCGTAATGTCTTAAAATAGAAAATTTGTTGTCTGCAGCAATGACGTTGGAAGGTGTGACACTGTCAAAGATAACGGAACAGTCCAAAACTATATAATATGAAGAGACGCAATACTGAACATAGCATTAATTACAATTGGCAAGGCCTCTGCCAAGATCAAGTGCCTAGTTAGTTAGTATTTTTATTCAGGCGTTCCGATTAATATTAAATCTCGTATTTTGACCTGAGTACTCGGTAACTAACGACAACAGTCGTAAAAAAAAGTTCATCTGCCATCTGTTGTACTGTAATTTGACTGTAATTAGTTTTAATTTAAATCACACGGCTCATCAGTAATCTGCACTGGTGCCAGTACTGCAGTACCATCATCATGGGTGGATTGTTCAGCCGTTCAAAGGATGTCAGGGTCCTCATACAAGGTACTCACTATAAAAGTCATATTATTAATAATAATAATATTAAGAATTCAATTGGCATGTTTTTTGTTTTTTTTAATTCTCATACTCATACATATGATTATCATGTTTTGAACAATTAAATTGTACCAAAAAAATACAACTCAGTCAACTGATAACAGATGACATCATTGTCATTATGAATAAAATTTTAAAAAATAATTTACTTAATCTTCATTTATTAAAAAACAAAAAAACAGGCCTATACTTATATACAGTAGGCTATACATTACCTAATACTAATTTTAAAATAAAAATATTCGTGACCAGTTCATTTTATTTAAGATGACATATTAATATTATTAAGAATTTTGTATTTACATTAGTATTAGATTAACATTTTTTTTTACCAGCATTCATCTTAATAATTGAACAGGTCTGGATGCTGCTGGCAAGACCAGTTTACTTTACAAGTTAAAATTGGGAGAAGTAGTTACAACCATTCCCACTATAGGTGAGTGTTAGCTCAACTAAGTATTCTAAGACTTAGTCAGACTTAGAGTAGGGCCTAATCAAGTTGATAAATTAGCTATTTAATACCAGGATATATTCTTTTCTTGATATTGCTACCAATGTAATTACTATAAGTTGTAACTTACTTTCCATTGCTTCTACTTCTAGGTTTTAATGTTGAGTCCATTGTGTGGAAGGCCATGTCGATAACTGCCTGGGATTTAGGTGGCAGGGATAAAATTGTAAGTCAAACATTTGTATAGAAAATAACAAACTCAAATAGAATTTTACATAGAGTTAGAGTAGTCTTCACTTTATTCATATGGTTCGAAGCTATTGTGCCTAACTTATGGAACCGTTTACCTCAATCTTTGAGGGGCATTGAAAATGATAAAAAGTTATTTAAAAAAACATTTAGAGACTTTTTTCTTTAATTAGATTTTAGGACATCAGAGCGCTGTGATCATGCCAAAATAGCATGGACACTGTACAAAAATAATGATCTTTTGTCAGTATTGTTCAATTATTTGTTATTTGTTAAGGAAATCCTAAAAATGAAACATTTAATCATTTTTTTGTTGTAAAAAAGTGATATGGTTATTTAATGATATTTAGAATAACCAAATACTGCAGCTGAAATATAAATTATACAACAGCGAATTCTTATAATAGTTGGTTACAACTAGAATTTAGAGGAGCTTTTGATGATTAACGTTAGTTCATTCATAATGGTTAAAACGTAACACCTACAATGAAATGATGCAATTTTGTTATGTTTTTTTCAGCGGCCGTTGTACCGCCATTATTACCCCAACACACACGGCTTTATCTACATCCTGGATAGTAATGATAGAGAGCGATTAGGTGATGCTATTGATGAGCTTTTTCAGCAGGTTTTATGGGTATGTAGTATAGCGTGGACACAAGCTCTATTTGAGTAATCAAATTATGTAAAAAAAATACAAAGATTTGAATGATAAAAAACGCTTCATAAAATAAAAATTAGCATATGTAAATTTTTATAACACAGCTTTGAAAAATATGATTGGCTCCATTTGATAGTCTCCCTGTTCCAGAACTCACACCAAGCGGGTTTATTAAATATTGACGCACTGAGGGAAAAAATTGAGCAAAAATTCCAGACATGAAGGTTGAACCAGCAACAGAGAGCTAAGAGAATGCCAAAACTGAAACTAAACACTGACAGACATTTTTACCTTACGTGAACAAAATCGGAACATATTTAGTTAGCAGAAATTGTCTATGGGAAAAATGTTTTCCCCTTTTCTCAATTTATTAAAGAGTATGTTTTACCAATTAATAAGTGTCCCAGAGAGTTTTCCGGCCCTACTTTTAATAATTTCTTAACTTAAATGCATGGAAATTCATAAATTCTGGGTTTATATTTGTATTAATTTCTTCACTTGATTGCAAGGAAATTCTTATCAATGTCGATGTTTTCATTTTAAAAAAAAAAAATTTCTGGTGTTTTTACATGGTCACATGCCATGAATGAAACAAATTCAAACCATTGAACCTACAACCATTGAACCTACAACCATTTTAACCTACAACCATTGAACCTACAACCATTGAACCTACAACCATTGAACCTACAACCATTGAACCTACAACCAATTAACCTACAACCATTGAACCTACAACCATTGAACCTACAACCATTGAACCTACAACCATTTTAACCTACAACCATTGAACCTACAACCATTGAACCTACAACCATTGAACCTACAACCATTGAACCTACAACCATTGAACCTACAACCATTGAACCTACAACCATTGAACCTACAACCATTTAACCTACAACCATTTAACCAAAACCATTTTAACCTACTGTTTTGTTTGTTGCATCCAGGACGATGCCTTGAGGGATACAGTTGTCATGGTGTTAGCCAACAAACAAGATTTACCAGGGGCTATGTCAGTACAGGAAATAGAAGAAAAATTGAGGCAGAGATATGTCAAATGTTCTCAGAGTGAGTTTTATAACATATGTGTATCCTATGATAATCATTTAAATATTTCTTAAAATCTAATTATAAAAAGTATTTTATGCTTTGTTTTATACAAAATTTCCCAGTTGTAAATAATTTGAAAAAAAAAAAAAATTGTACTAATGTTCTTAATATATTTTTGTCTGCTAAGGTACCTGATATATTATAGCCTTATTAAGTTCCTGATACTGATATATTATAGTTTAATAAAGTGCTTTATAGCAACAAATTTTTCGTTTGTTGAAGGGAAGAATATAACGATACTCCACTAGTGACATAGCTCATAATTACATGTAATGTAAGAGAAATCTGTTTCTTTTATTTCCTACTGTTACCGTTATTCATTTATTAATGTTTGGCTACTAAATCCACAGCTTTGTTCCTGATGCCCTGCTCCGTCCTAACAGGGGAGGGAATCATGGAGGCTTTTGATGCGTTCGTTGACCAGTTAAAGCTGAGACAGTCAGGAGTGGCCAACTCTGGATTCATCACCATTACAGAACAAGCCACGACAACTACGGAGCAGCTGTCAGAGTCTTACATCCAGCAGTCAATCAAATATTTCTTAAAGAGTCCTTTTTCCTGCATGAAGTTTTTACTGTCTCAAGAGAAACAGTTGTCTTTGACAGACAGCTCAAATGCTGACGAAAAGGTCATAATTGGACAAACAGATGACACGCAAGCAATCAGTAGCCCAGGGAATGACCAACAAATTACAGCCTCCTGATGAAACTATCGTGTCGGAGAAATCTGATGTTTCGTGACCAAATGACCTGATTAAACTCGTGCGTTGGTGAAATCTGATGTTTTGTAACCAAATGTCCTGATGAAACTATCGTGTCAGAGAAATCTGATGTTTTGTGACCAAATGACCTGATTAAACTCACGCGTTGGTGAAATCTGATGTTTTGTAACCAAATGTCCTGATGAAACTTATCGTGTCAGAGAAATCTGATGTTTTGTGACCAAATGTCCTGATAAAACTATCGTGTCAGAGAAATCTGATGTTTTGTGACCAAATGTGATATCCTAAGAAATCTAACTGTGATATACTAGTGTTTCAGAAGACAGGATGACCTCTCATGAGGCAACTCAATAAAGACATTTTTGTGGTGTCCAAATTTATTCCCAAATATCATTAAATTCGCACTTCTATTTTTTTGCACTGTATTTTATGGTGGGATTATGAACTCTGAACTTTTGGATAGCCAAGAAATAAAAAATTTAACTTAATTTTTTTCAAACATAATTCAATATCTTTCAAAGTTAAATGTCTTATTACCTGTAGTTATATAAATATGTTAATCTAAATGTTCAAATATTTACACCCCTGTCCCTTGAATTGTTTAAGAAAAATTGTTGTAACAATTATATATGTCCACTCCGCATGTATTAATGACTACGAGATATCCCACCACAGAAAGATGACAAATTCATCAAGCTTTACTGTTAACTGAATGGGTTGTCTTCACTGAACATTGTTTAATATTGTAAAATATTGTAGATAACTCTTGTGTAAATTACTTGTAAATAAAGCACATAATTTTTTATGCTCAGAATTGCCTTTCTTGTATGCACCTTTTAAACAAGTGAGTTAAAAGTTTGACCACTGCTATCAAGTTACCAAAGTCAGGGGCAGAATTATGCTATATTTGGAATGTATTCCCAATTCTCAGAATTATGCTATATTTGGAATGTATTACAAATTCTCAGAATTACGCTATATTTGGAATGTATTCCCTGAAGAAATAGTTTTTGAGATGACTTTAATTTTTACCATATTTGACATTATTTTTACTGTAAATTAGAAAATTAAGTGGTGAACAATCAGAGATGTTTGATGTCTGTATAAGGAAAAGACAAATTAAGGAGAAAAAAAAACAACATCTAAATTGGTTATGATCAATTATAATGTATTGGATAAATTTCTTGTAAATTTTATATTGAATATTTCACATTGACTAGCATAAGGACATTTAATCAGAAAGTACATAACATTTTAAACATTTGGTAGATGAACAGAGAAGTTAACATTTTCATTCCATGAAAAGGTATTTAAATACTTTAAAAAAAATATCAAACACAACATTTTGCTTTCCTCCAAAAAAGCTTAACAGGATTGATCAAATCTGCACATACAAATTATCATCAACAAAGCATTTACAATTTAAAAAATCTTAAACTTATCAAAATGTAAATGTTTATAAAAAAAATTTAGAATGTTTGATGGAAAGTGAAACCACAAATAAACACTTCATTGTGATCACCACTGACTTTGGTTGGTCAGGAATTTGTAAAATATTTGCCAAAGATTAAAAAGGCAAATGTTCATTAAGGCAGTGGCTCTCAGCATTTTTAAGGCCGCGACCCTGTACTGCAGTTCCCCATGTTGTGGTGACCCCCAAACCATAAAATTATTTTTGTTGCTACTTCATGTTGCTACTTCATGAATATGTGTTTTCCTATGGTCTTAGGCGATCCCTGTGTAGGGTCGTTCAACCCCCAAAGGAGTTGAGAACCACTGATCTAAGGAACCCTACAAAATATACTTAAAAGACAATTTATTAACAGTGGCCCTGATGGACAAAAAAATACCACAACAAACAGATAAATCACTAACCAAAGGATGACAAAGTTGTCCACTGAATGCTAACTTGAGTAGGAAACATTAACAAGAATCAGTTTTTAATTGCTTCCAAACATTCATCTTGACTTGGATTCATTGCTCAGCCATTCCAGAACATGGGGAGTGAAGTAGGTTATCAGAATGTCAACACCTTCAACAAGAAGCGAGGAAATGCATGATTCATAATTCATAAAGACGTTCTTGGTGTACAAAGATTGACAAGAGGAAATGCATGATATAAAATGAGTTCTCTGTGCACAATGATTGACAAAGTGTTTAATCATTAAGAACATTAAGTTACAATGACCAGTCTATGATTAAACATGTACAGAACGGACGGGCACATAAAACAATATGTTAAGTGTTGCTATAAGGGACAGTGCTTTTAATATTTACATATGTAGATGCCCTCTGGCTATTAAATTATCCTCATCCAGTCCTTTGGATAGTTTAAGAGCCCTAGTATAGTGAAATGCTTGTAGTTAAAAATTTTTTATTTGTTTATTTTGTGTCCAATGTTATCAGAAAACAGGGCATGTAAATTGAATCATATGAGCCAAGGACTATTTCTAAAAATAAATATGATAATGTTACAAATGTAAACAATCAGCTGGGTTTTAAAAAAAAAAGGATAACATAAAAAAAATAAAAACTTCAGAGTTACCTGCCCTCCTCATACACTGCAATGTTTCCATGACAGCGGCCTTGAGATCAAATGCTCCAGCAACAGCTGCATGGTACAACATGGCATATTCCCCTGATACATGGTAGATGGCCATAGGGTGGGTTGGGTACTACACAAGTAAACAAAAACATTTGAGCTAGATGACCCTGATGACTGGCAAACTATAAAATTCAGACTAGCGGTTATTTATGCTAACATTGAACATCAGTTTATTTAACGAATTGGGGATTTGAAGGTCTACATCTAACATTAAGCGAAGATTTGAATATTAATAAAACTGTTCCCATTAATCAAATCAACCGAAATAAAAAAAAACCACCTCAGTGACACACCATTTTTTATAAATAATTTGAACACTTACTGGAATGAAATGTGGTTTTTAATGTACTAACCATTTTTAAGGCAATTATTTTTCAGGTATCACAGACCCTTTCTCAATTTGTCAAAGGAAGTGAAAGGGGCCTATCATATATTACATACACACTGACGGGACAGTGGGGTTGTTTTTAAAGATCTAGTGCATGTGTGGGGGGTGGATTGGGGACCTCCGAAAAAAATGTAGTCACAATAACAAAAGTCTTCAAACATAATTGTACAGAAATTTGGACAGTCTCCAGAAGTTCGAACAGCGTCCGCGGGCTGTCACCTAAGAAATATGTGAAATTGATTGATTTTTAAAATTATTTCCATGTGTGTGTGTGTGGGGGGGGGGNGTGTACATAATATAATGGAGGGTCCTTAAATTCTGACTTTTTGTGTACATAATATAATGGAGGGTCCTTAAATTCTGACTTTTTGTGTACATAATATAATGGAGGGTCCTTAAATTCTGACTTTTTGTGTACATAATATAATGGAGGGTCCTTAAATTCTGACTTTTTGTGTACATAATATAATGGAGGGTCCTTAAATTCTGACTTTTTGTGTACATAATATAATGGAGGGTCCTTAAATTCTGACTTTTTGTGTACATAATATAATGGAGGGTCCTTAAATTCTGACTTTTTGTGTACATAATATAATGGAGGGTCCTTAAATTCTGACTTTTTGTGTACATAATATAATGGAGGGTCCTTAAATTCTGACTTTTTGTGTACATAATATAATGGAGGGTCCTTAAATTCTGACCTTTTGTGTACATAATATAATGGAGGGTCCTTAAATTCTGACTTTTTGTGTACATAATATAATGGAGGGTCCTTAAATTCTGACTTTTTGTGTACATAATATAATGGATGGTCCTTAAATTCTGACTTTTTGTGTACATAATATAATGGAGGGTCCTTAAATAAGTATGAAAGTTGGGAGGGAATAAAAACTATGAGTGAGATTGAAATGGAGAGTTATCTACCTTTTGTTTGATCAGTCTCACAACATCCAAGTAAGCCAGCCCAGGTTTGACCATCAGAAAGTCTGCTCCCTCAGCAACATCTCTGTCCTGCATATGCACAGGTTTATTATTTTTTTTTATTGGAACAAATTTAAGGTTTGTTTAACAATTAGAACAGTATTTGCATAGAACAGCTTTATATACACCTCAAACACTGTTCAATAAATAATTCTTTAAAGTAAAGTAATAAATATACGCAAAAGGGATATGCTATTAAAAATTTCTTGAAATAAAACAAATATGCACAAGTATTTAAATTTTTGTTTACAATCAATGGGATTTGAGGATTATCATCTACAATGGGCTGTTAATTTCATTAACTTATTCTTCTACCGAGGTGAACCAGGATTACACAATTCTGTTGACTCATTTTTGTAAAATAATTTTTTTTTTAAACTATTGATTGCATAAAAAAAAAAAAAAAAAAAAAAAAATTTTTAATTTTTTAATTAAATTTTTTTTTTTTTTTTTTTTTTTTTTTTCTTTTTTTTTTTTTTATTTTTTTTTTTTTTTTTTTCTTTTTTTTCTATTTTTTTTTTTTTTTTTTTTTTTTAGTGAACCAGGATTACACAATTCTGTTGACTCATTTTTGTAAAATAATTTTTTTTTTAAACTATTGATTGCATAAAAAAAAAAAAAAAAAAAAAAATTTGAAACTTTGTAATACAGTTTTTCATTTTTAACCATTTCCTGTAGACTTAAATATCTACACAACAAGCTCAGGGTGTTTGCCTCTGTCTTAAACTGTTTGTTTTTTTGTTGCTGTCCAAGGCTTTTTGGCTGAAACTTTCCATTTCTGTTATTGTCCTTCTTCAGAATTTCCTTGGTAAATTTAATTTTTTTGTTCAGCCTGAATGCAGTCCTCCCTTGTATGTCTCTGATTTTTTTATCCACACAGCTTACATGTTATTATTCAAATTATTTTCTAATAGATCAAAGAGACTACAAGATTTTATAAAATAGAAATGTTAATTCATTCCAAACACGGATCACCCACCCCTCGATCCAGATGTCTTGACTTTCCTGGCTTCAAATTTACAGAGGCCAAAGTATGTTCATATAAAGTGGTTAAACGTTCAATAAGTCTTTTGAGCGAGCTTGTTCCAAGTGCCAAGTCAAAAGTTGTCAAATATATAGAAATATCTAGTGAGCAGTAAAAGGTCTCTCCCCCAAGCACTTTTGTTTTTTTCTTTACTTTTCAAGGCTACCATTTTGAGTATTAAAGACTGTATAGTTTACTTAATTATCATGAGAGTAAAAAAATTACAAAAGTCAGAGTGTTGGTACTTTTTGTGCCTAGGACAATCTTGCTCTCGATAGTTGAATAGATGATCTACGGAGAAATGACTCTAATCTTAGATCACAAAATAACACTCACTGCTGCTCGCTCTGCAAGTCCAATAGCACCGTGGGGAAGCTGATAACACTTCCTGTCACCAAAGGCAGGGGCACTCTTGGCTGCATCTCTGATTGATGAAAGTTTTCGATAATGTCATTTGGTAAAATATATTCACTTGTTTTAGGTGTGTCATTGTTGAAATTATTCTTAAATGCAAGAATTTTTCTTTTTGAAGCACCAAAAAAAAAATTGTGAATTGTGCTAAAAATAAAACACATAGTGGAAGTGAATTTAAACTTAAATGGGGGAAAGGGTAGCCATTTTAGTGTTGTTGATAGTCACCCGCTGTCTTAGGGAATCTGTTTAACACAAGGTGCAACAAGATTCTGTAATTGTGTGTTTAAGCAACATTGTTGAGCAATGCCATTTTTCCCCCTAGCTTTATAGCCCAGTATTCTGCACCACCTTTCATTGGCAAATATTTGCTAGTGCAATAACAAGAAATAGTAGACAAAATTTACCTCTTCAAACATGTCTTTCTGTATGTTCATTTTGTAAAAATGAGGATACTTATCTTGTACAATGTGATGCTAAATTGTACTCAAATTGTACTCAAGTTGTACTAATTTGTATTCAAATTGAACCCAAGTTGTACTAAAATTGTACTCAGGTTGTACTCAATTGGTACGCAAATTAATGAGCATTTACTTAGCACTAGATTTTGGGATTTTACTATGTAAAACTAGGATTTCAATGTCATGTGTGAATAGCAGCTGTCTAAAGCTTTACTTTAGAAGTACATATATGCAATGAATTTAGCACATTTCATTCGGATCAAACATTTACGGCTACCTGAAGGGTCCATAAAAACTTGATGCGAACTTGGCACTGTAGCTCATAACGGACACAGTGTTCCCAAAACCGTTGCTGAAGAGAGCTTTTTTGATGGCCCCTATCCTGCCATCCATCATGTCAGAGGGGGCTATCACATGGCAACCTGATGTCCCATCATGATGAAAACAGATTCATGAATTGTGAGGCAAAACAAGACATAGAATGTAGGGGTTGGCCTACAAAAAGTATACAATTTCAAATTAAACTAAGGGGAAATAGTTTGAGACTGGCAAAAATATCAAATTATTCCCCTTGTGACTTTTCAATTTACTTATAAATTGTTAACAAATAAATTTTGTTTGTTACAAGAAAAGGGCTTTATGCTAATGAAACATAATGAAAATCCCATTAAACCAAACTGTAAAATGATAAAATGTCATGAGGTTTGAACCCATATTTTTTTGTTTCAATTTCCAAATCAAATAGGTTAAAATTCACTGGAAAATATAACAGTCCCATTTAAACTAAAAGCTCATCACCATCATGCCATCTTCATCTCCATCATGGCATCTTCATCATGCCATCTTCATCACCATCATGCCATCTTCATCACCATCATGGCATCTTCATCACCATCATGCCATCTTCATCACCATCAACATTGATTTAACAGGTAAAAAAAAAAAAACACCTTTAAATATCATAGCAATATCTTCTGGACAATACTGATTCAAATAGGAATGATAACCTTACTCTACACAATTCAAAATTACAAACTGAATATTTTTCCTAGTTCCAGGTTTGGAATCATTTCTAAGCTTACCTGCCCTGGCATAGGCCACAGCTATCTCCGACAGCCTCTCTATGCTTGGTTCATTGTCTATTGTCCCATCTGGCCTAAGGTAGCCTGAAAACAGAGACAATTATCAAGGCAAGAAAAATTATTGAAAATTATTTTTACAAATCTTTTATGACACACATATATATATATATATATATAGCGTCCTTCTGTCATTTCAAAATGATGGAGTAACTGTTGACACATCATCATATTGCTGAGGAGGCTGATCCTGGCGACGGCAGTTTCGGCTGCACTTTTCCCAGGAGAACCTTCACCCCTGGTTAAAAATTGGCTTTCTGTAACGCTCTTTTTTTTGTTGCAAGGGATTTGCTTCGTGCATCTTCTGCCTATTTGATCCTGTTCGCCAGCTGAAATGGTGCTCAGCGATGATCTCCCATTCTTTGATTTCTATGTTGGCTTCCTTCATGCTCCTTTTGCAAACATTCTGAAAGCGCAGCCGAGGCTGTCCAATATGTCTTGCCCCCTTTAGTCAACTTGCCATACAGCAGATCTTTTGGGAGACAGCCTTCCTCTCTTCTCCTTACATGGCCTAACCAGCAAAGGTGTATCTGGCTAAGAGCGGAGAACACGCTACACATTTTGGCACATTCCCATACCTTTCTGTTTGGCACATTCCAACACCTTTGTGTTTGGCACATTCCAATACCTTTGTGTTTGGCACATTCCAATACCTTTGTGTTTGGCACATTCCAATACCTTTGTGTTTGTCACTTTGTCATGTCGTCAAATTTGCAAAATGTGATGTGTATGGACACAGAAAAAAAAAGACAGTAGTTAAATCAGCCCCGTACCTCTGTGACCGTGGAATGTGTACAGACACAGAAAGACACCACAAGACAGTAGTTAAATCAGCCCCTTACCTCTGTGACCTTGGAATGTGTACAGACACAGAAAGACACCACAAGCCAGTAGTTAAATCAGCCCCTTACCTCTGTGACCATGGAATGTGTACAGACACAGAAAGACACCACAAGCTACTAGTTAAATCAACGCCTTACCACAGTGACCGTGGGATGTGTATGGACACAGACAGACATCACAGGCAATGAGAAGGGAAGGGAAAGCTTTCCTCAACACCTTGATGGCTTCTATTACGGGGGTGTCGGGGGCATCTGCTGCTGTACCTTTTTCATCCTGCCAATAAAAATGTACATGCACTTGACCAAGCTCGTAAAACTGAGCATGAAAGTGGCCTATCACAACCTATTAGACTCTCACAATCTAGTGGCCTATCACAATCTCGATATCAGTGTAAAGTGTAAAAAAAAATGAATAATGACATATTAGGATTGTGTTGAAAGTGAAAGTGGCCTATCACATTCTAGGGTCTTATCACTATCTAGTGGCCTGTCACAAGCTCTTTATCAGTATAAAAAAAAAAGAATAATGCATGATCATTACCAAAAAGCAAGAATTAATTGTGCATGTCATCACAGTCCATTTCTAATGCTTTTTATTTTACAGAAAATGTTTTAAATATGGAACTTTTAATTGAGAGGAGGGGTGGGGGGTGAGAGAGAGAATGCCCAGGGGGGAAATAGGGGGGGGGGGGGGGGGGTGGGGGTGGGGGGTGGGGGGTGACAAAGGGATTAGATATTCTCTTTCTTAATAATAATAATCTAAAAATATAATTCTTGAGTTCTTTTTATCGTATCCGCCATCTTTGAATGCCCTCCTTGCAGTGTTTTAATAGGATGACATCATAANAAGGAGGGGGGGGGGCTGAAACTTAAATGTAACAGCGTGGGATTATTGGGGATGAATTGAATTCCCATGTCCAAGGAGTCTGACTAGAAATGTTTTAGATATGAGAGATATGGCAATCTCTTTAAGCTGACTAAGCTTGAAACAGGCTGTCCTGTCGTGCTAGAAATCCAGCAACATCATTCATCCATCCTGCGCTGACCTTCACAAGATTCTCTGGGACTCCGAATAAAAGAACAGCTTTTAACCCTTTCTCTACCAACGGTCCAACAGCCTCCTGCAGTCGGTTGACACCATAACGCCTTTGGTCAGGCATGCTTTTGATTTCCTGCACTGCATTTGGGTCATCTCTAAGGAAAAGAAAATGGATTGAATTCAAAACAATTTTTTTCTTAAAAACAGATGGGTAATGTTGACGATAATCAGATTAAACAAACTTTGTTATTCCTCTTCTTCTACACAAGTGTTTCCCAAACTTTAAAGTTTGGTGTACCAGTGAACATATTTTGAAATTGCAACAAGGCTCAGTGCCAGATTTATCAATTACATTTTCTTTCTATTTGACCATAAACATTCATGTTGTCTGGACCGGCAACGTATGGCCCTCGGACTGCACTGGTCCACTGACCACCATTTGAGAAACACTGTTCTTCACCATGTGTAATCAAACTGTGATTGATGAACTCCCCATAACCATATTTTTTAAAAAATCTCTTGACTTATTGATTTCAAATTTAATAGAGTATTTACCCTACGACATATTAGAATATTAATATTAACGCACCCTTACATGTTGGATGGTGAAATACTAAAAGATCATATTTTTTGCAAACATTTTCAACACTCTTTGTCCGCTCTTTAATGTATCTAATAAAAAAGAAGCAATCTAAAGTGTTAGAATGCCAGAATCTAGTCGATTTTTAATGTATCCAGTAATCTACATCACATCTTATTCCACACCACCTTACAATGTTAAATGCCCCTCAATTTGTCATTAGCCAGTTTTCATAGCTAAATGGCCAGCTACTTGTGGCTATTACCTTCAATATCTGACTATGGATGTTGCCCACTTAAGATAAGTGAATGTTAATTTTTCTGAAAGCCACGTTGAAAAGAAACAGAAGAAAAAAAAATGATGCAGGAAATAACTCTCTTTTAAAATACCCATAATATGTATAAAAATATGAAATATATAACACGTTAGGATTAGTATGGACATGGACAAAAAATGGATTTCCTCCAGTTCATGTTATACAAAGCTGATATCTCCAAAATATATCAACAAAATTTAATGTTCAAAAATGATATGAGTCTTCTTTCTTTTTGCCAGTCAAAGACTTTCTGAATTTAACAATTTGAACATTGTATATGACCCATTGGCATTAGGTTTTAACACTAAATATGGATATCAGGCTTCTTTTATACAATAATTAATTTAGCCTGATTAAATGAGAAAAAAATTGGACAATCAATGCAAATGTAACAAAATGTAACATGTTCTATTAAATTGAAATTAATTATTTTGATCATCAAATTAATGGTTTCCCACATTTAAAAGCATGTTGGTGCTGCAGCATTGTGGCATTTAACAATTGTTTCTAAAAAAATCTTATAAAATCAAGCAATTTGCCCCCTCCAGCACCCAGTCCCAACGCATGCACACACACATACACACACACACAAATTTCTGTGAGAGAGAATTACCTCCCACCACACCCAAACCTGCACACATTTTTAAGAGATATAGGTCATGACCTGGGCAACCAGCATCACATGACAAAGCCACATGACTGACCTTCTGAACTTAACTTGTATTTTTTTAAAAGTTTTGACAAGTCACAAGACCAAATCTAAATCTCAGTAATGTGTGAGACATGAATATTGGTAGAGAACTGAATTTAAACCTAAGTAGTTCCCCTTCTACAAAACACATTAACACAAATAAACATGAGTGAATTCTTTTGAAGTTGATACAAATTATTTTAATAAAAGTGCAAGTGAACCAAGTATCTTCTAGCTATACTCTTAGACATGTGTCTAAGCAAATCTTTAATAAAGTCTGCAAACCAATAAATGTTTCAGTTTTAAATTTTATATGTTGCAATAGGTGATGGGCACACTCAGAGTCTTTAGTAATGCAGCAGTTTACCATTTTCAAATCTTGGCCTATGCAGCCTCCCCCTCCCCATGGCCCAATCTTAATACTCCATTTACTATTATAAGTTTTTTTTTACTTTTTAGCATTTCATACTTAAAATTAATAATTAGGCTAATTCTTTGTTTTCAGTATGAAATACAAGCGAAAAAATTGCAGAGATTTATTACTAATAATACTAATTAAGTTCATAGTCAGCTTAAAGACTTAGTACGACTGTATAAAATAAAATGCCTCATATTTAGGCCTTTTAGGCTCATATCATATTCATATATCATCTTTTAAAAATGTGTTATAAATATTGCACTGGGCAAGGTTCAATAGTAGTATATCTAATAAGTTATTTTCTTATTTTGAGTTTTAATCACAGTTAAATCATTTAATTAGGGCCCAATTAAATTTCATATTCAATCAATCAAATACAAACTTACAAAGTAGTGTTACTAGTATTAGTACTATTTTATTATTATTAAAGAAGATTGTAATTGTAAAGACAAAGAAAGCTGAAAGACTTTTTTATTTTAAAGATAAGATGTGATTGAAAAGAATAAGATTAAGACTAAGACTCAAGAGGACTAATAACTAAATTTAAATCAGTATGCTAGGCTACTACATAACTGCTATTAACTAGTGACCCTTACCTACACTTACACAGTCCTACACTACACTGTATAGCCAACTGATCATATGTGTATCACAATCACTGACAAGACAAGTATTATGGCTCACGGTATAGTATATAAAAAAATATTTAAATAAAATAAGTAATAAGATAAGTACTTTTGAATTTAATGTATTCAGTTTTTTAAGTTTAAGTAAGTGGCTACTTGTTACCATTATTACTATTACTATTATTAACTAATACTATTATTACAATTAATTAGTAGTACTATTATTACTAACTAACTATACTTAAGAATAGTACTCACACGATGAAAAGAGGATACATAAGATTATCCGGTGTAATTGTTGTACCTAATGACTGCCATGTCCTCAAGGTTGGATGATGATATCCACTATGTAGAATAGCGTGGTCTGCCATTTACCTTTTAAAATGAAAATGAACAAACCAGACGTCAGACGTACCCTAGACTCTGACTTGAAAGCCGCACAACAGAGACCGGTTGTTGGTGTTTTTTTTTTTTTGTTTTTTTATTTCATCCCTTTTTATAGCTGAGTTATCTCCCCTTAATTCTTTTTTTTTTTCTTCTTATTTTTCTTTATTTTTTTAAAAATACGTCACATGATATTTTAGGCCTAGGAGTGTGTATGGGGGTGGAGGGGGGTAACAACTTCAATTAGAACAGGCGGTGCATGGGCCAGGCAGAAGAAATAAAATGGGGGGGGGGGGGGGTGTGGGGAGGTGAAGGATAGAGAAACCAAACATCAGTTTTTTTTAAAAAAGTGAACATTTTCCCCATTTCTCACTAGCACCTTCCCTTCAAAAAATGTTAAAGAAATGAAATTTAAGTTACACACATTTAATTTCGAACAAACATCCTTCCGAAAATGTTTCACTTGGAAATAAATATCTGTTTTGAAATAAAATTATGGGGTTGGCGCCGGCAGAGGATATAACCGGATGCAATGCATTTTGGAAGCAACGAAAACACAAAAAAGTTGTCTCCAAAGACTGTACTTACTCGCCTTGTATCATGGGAGACTTCACCTTTTACCTTATTTTTAATTATTTTTTTTTTAAACAACACCTTATACTTTGATAGATCCTATTATTAAATAGAAGAAGAAGGCATGTTTATACAAGATCAAAGAGATTTATTTTTTTTTTAAATTTTAGCCACCCCCCCCCCC